AAATTTTTGTTTCAACCCAGGGCGGATAATCTCTTCAGGACCAGTGGTGTGAGTGGTGATACCGGGAGGGTGGAGGGAGGGTGGGTAGGAAAGAGGGAACCGATTACAAGGATCTACATATAATCTCCTTCGGTGGGGGGGGTGGACAACAGAAAAGTGGGTGAAGGGAGATGTCAGACAGTGCAAGATATGACAAAAAAATACTTTATAAATTATCAAGGGTTCATGAGGGAGAGAGAAGCGAGGAGGGAGGGGAAAAAATGAGGAGCTGATGCCAGGGGCTTAGGTGGAGAGCAAATGTTTTGAGAATGATGAGGGCAATGAATGTACAAATGTGCTTTACACAATTGATGTATGTATGGATTGTGATAAGAGTTGTATGAGCCCCTAATGAAATGATTTAAAAAATTTTGTTTCTTGACTGCTGTTTCCATGAGCATTGATTGTGCATCTAAACAAAATGAAATCCTTGACAAGGTTATTCTTTTCTCCATTTAATATTATTGGTCGGTTATAAGGATTTTGGTTTTCTTTATATTGAGGAGTCCGCACTGAAGGTTGTAGTAGGATTTTCATCAGTTAAGTCCTTCAAATCCTCCTCCCTTTCAGCAAGCAAGGGGGTGTCACCTGCACAGCACAGGTGTTTTGTTTTTTAAACCTCCTCCAATCCTGGTGACATGTTCTCCATTTGGTCGTTTCTTGGAGTGTTTGCTCAGCAGACAGGTGGAATACGTATGGTGAAAGGGTATAAACCTGATGCACACTTTTGTGATGTTAAACTGCTGAGTACTCTTTGGTCTGCTTGAATGATGCTTCTTCGTCCAAGTAAAGGTTCCACATGAGCACAATGAAGTGTTCTGGAATTCCTATTCTTTGCAATGCTATCCATGGTTTGCTATGACTGACACAGTTGAATGCTTAGGTATTTGATAAAACACAAGTAAGCATCTTTTTGGTAGTCTTTGTTTTTAGCCAACATCCATCTGGGATCAGCAATAATATTACTCTGTCCGTGTCCTCTTTTAAATCTAACTTGAATTTCTGGCAGTTCCTGTCAATGTAGTGATACAATCATTTACAATGATCTCCAGCAAAAGTTTACTTGCGTGTGGTATGAATGACATTGTTCATTAATTCCAGTGCCCCAAAGAGAAAACGACCACATTAGGGGGGGGCAGAAATGTGGAGTGATGTAGTTGCAGTCTGAGACTGCCTGGTGCCACCAAAGAGCTGGAAGAGAAAAGAAAACATCTTCCTCTAGACCAGGGGTTCTCAGCCTTCCTAATGCAGCCGCCCTTTCACACAGTGCCTCATGTGGTGGTGACCCCAACCATAACATTATGTTCTTTGCTACTTCATCACTGTCATTTTGCTACTGTTATGAATCGGGTGACCTCTGTGAAAGGGTCCTTTGACCCCCAGTTGAGAACTGCTGCTCTGGAGATGCCAAAGATGGGCTGGCCCTGAGGACTCCCTGAGTTCAAACTCCTAGCCTCCAGAACTGTGAAACAAGCAGTATTTGTGGGACTCACTGGGCTTGAGGTTCCAAAAGAGAATTGGGGTCTGCCCACATAGCTCCCAGGGTGCCAGGGGATTTGATCGCTTTTACTTCATCTGAATAGTTGGTAAACAATCCAGGGAGCTGGTGGTCCGTTCTCACCCATTAGATCCCAAAGTGCTTGGTCAAAAAAATGATCAAGTGCTAAAGTAGAAGAAAGCTCAGGAGGAATGCCACAGAAATGTCTGTAGACAACTAAAGAAGACTATCTGAGGGAGGAGATAGCTGGTAGCATCCTCCTGGAGACCAACACTTCCTGGGAAGGGCACCATGAACTCAGATTACAGAGTTCTCTACCCATGGGAATGAGAAGAGGCTTGGTCCTGTGTAGTGCTAGGGGACCGAGACCCAGGGATGCCACAGCTCCCCTGGCAGGATAACGACCAGTCATAAAGACGAGAAAGTCAATAGATTCAGATGCCACGGCTGGCTCTGTGGCTCAGCCTCATTTTCTTCATACACACAGATGTGATAACTGACTCTTCTACATTGAGCTCCCATGCCCCATCCCTCGGCACACACCACACCACAGCTCACCACATCTGAGAAAAAGATGCTTATTTGGTGCTTATTTTTCTCGTTACACTTTGTTTGAATGGGTCTCAAAATTCTGTGACAAATTTTTGGTCAAGTCGTTTTCCATTTAAAAAATACTGATTTTAAAAACTAGTGACTTAAAATTGCCACACACACAAAAGAAATGGATGGCCCACAAACATTCCTTTACTTATGAACGTTTTACAATGCATTGCTATTATTAACCACTCTTTTCCTATTCCACTGAAATGGCCAATGGAGACAAACAGTTCTGAGACCATTCTTCCCCCACTGATTAAGACTGCTGTGACAGGTGTTAGGGGTAACATTCATTTAGCCTCTGGGCAGACTTGGTGACCTTGCCAGCTCCAGCAGCCTTTTTGGTCCACTGCCTTGATGGCACCTACAGCAACTGTCGGTCTCATGTCTCGGACAGCAGAGTGACTCGGAGCAGGGTAGTTCTCCACACACATGGGCTTGCCAGGCACCATGTCGACGATGGCAGCATCACCAGACATCAAGAATTTGGGGCCATCTTCCAGCTTCTTACCAGAACAGCAACCTGTCTTCTTCTGGAGCTCAACACACTTGCAAGCAATGTGGGCAGTGTGACAATCCCACACAGGTGTGTATCCAGCACTGATCTGGCCATGTGGATGGGTCAAGATAGTTAGTCACCTGAGAAGTGAAGGCAGCTGCTTCCATTGGTGGGTCATTTTGCTATCACCAGCCACGTTGCCCCGGGAACATCTTTGACAGAGATGTTCTTGACATTGAAGCCTACGTTGTCCCCAGGCAGAGCTTCACTCAAAGCTTCATGGTGTATTTCAACAGCTTTCAACTTCAGTGGTAATGATCACTAGAGGAAGGGTGATCAGCAAGCCAGGTTTCAGAGCACCAGTTTCTACTCTGCCCACAGGGACAGTGCCAATACCATTTTGCAGACATCCTGAAGAGGTAGGCACAGGGGTACGTTGGTTGGGTGAGTTGCTGGCAGGATGCAATCCAGAGCTTCAAGCAGTGTGGTACCACTGGCATTGCCTTCCTGACGGGTGACCTTGCATCCCGGAACCAAGGCATCTATGTGAGTCCTCAACTCAAGCATGTTGTCACCATTCCAACCACAAATGCTACTGTCAGGGTTGTAGCCAATATTCTTAATTCAGGTGCAAGCTTCCTTAACAATTTCCTCGTATCTCTTCTGGCTGTAAGGTGGCTCAGTGGAATCCATTTTGGTAACACCAACAATGAGCTGTTTCACAGCCATGGTGGAAGCTAGAAGGACATGCTCATGGGTCCGTCCATTCTGGGCGAGACCAGCTTCAAATTCACTAGCAGCAGCAACAATGAGCACAGCACAGTCAGCCTGCACTGTTCCTGTGATCCTGAATCTCTGTGTCCAGGGGCATCGAGGGTAATCACATAGTACTTGCTGGCCTCAAATTTCCACAGGGGGGACCGTCAATGGCGATGCCACACTCATGTTCAGCTTTCAGCTTATCCCGGACTCAGCCATATTTGAAGGAGACTTCTTCACCTCAGTAGCTTCTTTTGCCAACCCCACCACCTTTGTAGATCAGGTGACCGGTTGTCGGACTTCCCAGAATCGCCGCATCCAATGACGACAATGTTGATATGAGTCCTTTCCTTGTCCATTTGGGGTTAGCGGTCTTTGCGATGGTTTTCACGGACACCTGTATTCTGGCAGCAATCTCCTGTTGTAAAAAAAGCTGGTGCTTATTTTTGACAGACACAATCAAATAATTTTCATTTTTCTGAAGATTGAGATGGATGGGGTTGGGGCTCCAAATGGACAAGCAATCTGTTCGGATATCTCACTTTCTTTCTTAAGGGTGCTCCATAAGGGGTGTTAGAGGAAAATAACTTCGTGGAGATGCTGTATAAGGAGGGGAAGAGAGAACTTTAAGCAAATGTAAGTTTAAAAGATGGGGAAATGGGTTCATAGGCACAGCTATTAAATGTAGTGAGGATGTATAGAGAAGACTGCAGGAGAAAGCACAAGGAAATTTTGAGTTGAGGGGATGGACGGCACTTTTGCAGTCAAACTGAAGTCGGTCCATAGTGGCAGGAAATGCAATGTCTCCAAAGGAAGCGGTTGACAATTGATAAGCCGAGTGAATTGCTGGAGGAAGGGAATGTTTGGGGAAGCCAGTCCTGGGAGTCTGTTCCTCTCTTTACAAGACAGAACGGCTATGCCTGGGCCACCAGGACAGGACCGGCACGGAGAGAAGGGCTCTTTGCTAAAAGGCAGGGGCATCATCAGAGCAGTCACCTAGGCCATCTGTCTCCCTTTGCCGCTAATTCCCCATCGCTTTTCCCATGCACTTCCATCTGGGGGAGAGAGGAATGTTGGAGAGGGCATGAGAGCATTCTGGTGATTAGAAGTGGGCAATACCCATGGAAAGGAATAGCTTCTCACTTATGTATCAGACCAGTCGGGATCACTGCTGTGAAGGAGCAGTTAGGAGTCTGAGCATCTCTAGATGGAAAAGGAAGGGGTATCAGGACTGGTTCGATCAAGGGCAGAGTAGTAAACATGTAACAGTCGCTGAGGCATGGTCAGTGTGGAAGATCTCCAGGGCAAGTGGTGGCTGGTTTCATAGTTTGGCCTCTCCTCTTTTTTCACACACCTACAATGACAATGAGGGCCTCCATGAAGTCACCATCGCAATCCTATTTGGTTAAATGACAGCTCGCATGCAGGTGTACACACACACACACACACACACACACACACACACACACCATTAGCTACCGTTAAGATGGCTCTAACTCATGGTGACCATTTGTAAAATAGAACACAATGCTACCACTTATATGATCATTGGTATGTTTAAGGACACACACGTGCATACATTCCACAGTTCTACCAAGAATCGTGACGTTTTCATATAAACCACAGGTATATTTAATTCAAATGAAACATGAAACTAGAATGATGCTCAGTTCTTATCAAGTAGCAATTACATTTTTTTAAAAAAAGGATGGGACATTTCTTTCTCCAGCTGGCAATCCAACAAAGCACAAGTCATATCCAGTTTGATGAGGTGACGAATCCAGTGGTCCCCACCAATGCTCAGGTCTTGAGGGGGCGAGGAAAATAGACCATACTCAATACAAAAGGACTCTGCAGCACGTCTGGGAGGAGAGGAGCTTCCCGCCTAAGATATAAGAGCGAAAGTCCCAGTAGCAGGAAGGAAGTGACCTGTACAATGAATGGATTTTATTAAATAGATAGTTAACGCATTGCTTTGTATCCTGTCCACATTGTTGTTGGTGCTGCCTGAATTAAGAGCAGTGACAAAAGTTGCCTACACATATCTCGGCAGTAATACTCTTTCCATCCTAGGTATCTTTAATTTTTTTTTTTGGCATGATTTCTTTCCCATTTAAAGAAAGTCAACCTCTTCCAGACACAGGTCATGCAGCTTTCCGGGGCAGCCTCCACTATGTACCCAGGTTGTGAAGAAGGCCAAGCCTAGTGTTGGAAGGCCTTCTTTTGCTCCCACTGAAAGCTTTTCACTGTTGGGTCTGAAGAGATCAACTTCTGTCCGTCTTGGTTCCACTCCCTCCTTCGGGTGGCTGAGATCAAGGTTGGGCTTCCTTCATAGGGCTGTGCTCTCTGTTTCATTGTCCATGTCTAGCAAGATGCGGCCGGGCACGTCTTTGCTTGCTGAGTCTGAATGCAGTTCAGAAAAGATGCTGCGAAGTGGTTCGGAAGCCCTAGAATTGGCATCTGGACAAAAACACAAGGAGAGATGGTATCAGTAACACAGGAGGAGCCAGTTGATGGTGGTCTGAGAAGAGAGAGGCTGGCGAGTTTATGGTTCAGCCCATGCACACACACAAGCCCTTACTAGAGGGGCCATCAGGCTGTAAAGTCAGAGTCAAGCCTTGGAGAGCCTGCAGGGAGCTGGCGGGCAGAGCTAGCTACCTTCTGATGGGGGGCTCTCTAACCTTGTATCCCAGAGGTGAGATGCAGACCTTAGAGAACCTTCCTGCTTTCATTGGGGAAAGCTAATCTTACCAATTTCTCTAATGCACCACTTGAAACTTTGAGTATCTGGGCTGCAGGAATAGGAGCTTCATGGGAAGGAATCTCTCAGAGGCTGATGGGTATTCTGCCTGCTACAAATGCCATGCCCTCACTAGTGACATCTTTGTGTGTGTGTGTGTGTGTGTGTGTGCTGACTTGTGCATTACAGGATGCTTAGGAGCATCTCTGAGCTCTATTCACCAGATGTCAATGATACCTCCCTATCGCCAGTGTGACAATTCTCTTTAAAATCTCTCCAGATACTGTCAAATGTATCTAGGGGGCACAATCATCCCTGCTTGACAGACAATTACTGAGGTAGATCACTAAATCTCCTGCTAACATTAATATTCTCTTTCCAATATGTGAACCTCCAATTCCTTTTTCCTGCCTTATTAGGTTGGCTAGAACGTTATGAGCAGGATCACAAATACATCGTCTTGAAGCTATCATTCCTCTTTCCCATACTCACAAAAGACACCTTCAACAACCATAGCCCTTTCCCCAGAAAGGCACACGGGTCTCTGGCCTATTCACTGAACAAACATTTGCAGAGCCCTTCCCACATGCCAGGCATCATTTTACCTGCTGGGGCAATAGACACGACCTGCAAGAAGACCATGGTCATGTGGGGGAGACAGAAGGGTTTCTTTCTTTAGTGGTAGAAGTCGATGAGGGTTCTTAATAGTTTGAGAGCCTTGTCAAATATTTGGGCTTGCTATAAAGAAATGGAGCGGCATCCTGGGAGAGTAGTGGTTACTCTTTGGACTGCTAATTGTTAGATGAGCAGTCGGAAACCACCAACTGCATCTTGGGAGAAAGATGAGGCTTTATACGCCCCATCAAGAGTAATAGTCCTGCAAGCCTACAGGGGCAGCTCTATCCTGTCCGATCAGGCTACTAAGAGTCGTGATTAACTCTATGAATTCGACTTTATAAAGATATGGAGCTGTATTTGCAGTTTTACTACGAGATAGGTTAGTTGTAATTGTATTCTGCCAGGTTATTGGATCCTGAGGAGGATCAGGGTCTGAACTAAAACAGGAATCAAGTGCTTGGGAGTGCCCCCGTTTTGTTTCATGGCTCCCCCCACCCTCCCTTGAGTATCTGCTAATAGGAAGGGCAAATCTGGCAATGGATATGGCCCTGTGATAGCTGTACAACATGACTAATGTAATTGATGCCAATGAGCTATTCGTGTAAAAGAGACTGAATCGGCCAGTTCATAGTTTACCAGGACAAAAAAAGAAGTTAAAAAAAAAAAGAGCTGCTTTTGTATACTTGCTGTGATGCAAAGTTGCTTCTGCATCACTTATACTATGTCCACAGCACACACAGCTAGCAAAAGCCCGGCACTTCTGGGAGGCTCACTGTCCCCATCCCCATCCCCACGCCTGCCAGTTCCGGGCTGTAAGTACTGCTGACCCTGCAAGTGGCTGACATGCCGTAACATCAGGATCTGGGCACTCATCCCCCTAGGCTTGCCCCGCACCATGCCTCAGGTACATTCTGGAAGTGGCTGGCATGTGGGCTGCACCTTCTCCTCGAAACGTCAGAGGTCATCAAGATGAAAAGAAACAAAACTGTGTTTACATTTTCCCAGGTAGTTTAATGGGAATCTGAGCAGTGGGAAAGCTAAATGCTGGGGCTCATCCCTGGGGTGGCAGTTCCATGTCCAGCAAGCAGGACAGCCCGGGCAGTGCCAACGGTGCTCGTCGGAATAGTACCTGGCCTAAGATGAACAGCCCGGCCTAACTGGTGTGGACAGCGGACGTGTCCAGCCAGCTCCTGGATGAAATGCCATCCACATGTGTCTGGATTTGAAAACCAAAGATTCCCTTTCCATAAAAGGATGTATGGTTCATGGTGTGGGTGGGAGAAACAGGATTTCTTGGTGATGAAAAGACCGAAGGAGCTCATTTTGGGAGTGCTCTTACTTAACTTTAATGGGACTGAGAGACTGTAGGAAAAAAAGGGGTGGGGGTGGGAGGGCTGACCAGAGACAATACAGATTTAAGTTCATCTCAATGCTCAGCCGGCCACTGATGTTCGACTCGACTATCCCTTCCTTAGGCTTTCTCCTCCGAATAGGGACCTCCCTTCCCAAACTTGGGGCTAGAATTCTCTGGATGAACCCCCTTCATTCCTTCTGCCCAATCTGACCCCAAAGGGGCCGTGTCACTGTTTTAGCGCTCAGTTAACTTCTTCCCAGCACCTTCCTTCATAAGTGGGCTTGATGCCACCGTCAGGGTCTGATTTTGTAAAGGGGATGGCTGCCTGCACCATGTTTATCTTTCCAATCGTAAGACTTCCTTGGCTGCCAATTTTCTGAAACACATCACTTTCAGATTTACTGGGTGGCACAGTGGTTAAGCGCTCTGCGGCTAACCAAAGGCTGGCCGTATGGGTACAGCAGCTGCTTCGAGGGAAACGATGGGGCAAGCTGCTTCTGCAGAGACTACGGGCCTGAGAACGTCAGGGGGCATTCTACTCTGCCCGATAGGGAGGCTTGTCGATTCAAATGCGACAAGGCTTGAAGGAGTCAAGAAAGAGTTCAGGTGTGGAATGTCATTTCAGACAAGTTGGGCCTTATGGATCTCGTGAAACCAACTGAATTGTACTTTCCAGTGATGCTGTCAGGGGGTTGTGTATGCCCCAAACAGAGGACACGCTGGAATTGTTCTTAGTCAAATGGAAGCTGGAGGAGGACCCGGAGGGCACATGTTTTGCTCACGGTACACCTACTCCCCACTGACCAACTGGCTTGTTATTCAACACTTTGCGTTTAGGACAATGGTTAAATATCTTCAATCTGACAAGTTTGCATATTTAGGATATAGGCCTGGCAGTAAAGAATGCTGAGGTGTGATGTGAAACGGCAGCTTCCTGTGATGACTAACATATGTACAATCTCGGCTGGGCCAAGATGCTCAGGGGATTGGCAGTGAACTGGAAATCCAGGGAATCCAGGGCGGATGATCCCTTCAGGACCAGTGGTGTGAGTGGCGATACTGGGAGGGTAGAGGGAGAGTGGGTAGGAAAGAGGGAACCAATTACAAGGAACTGTATGTGACCTCCTCCCTGGGGGACGGACAACAGAAAAGTAGGTAAAGGGAGATGTCGGACAGGGCAAGATATGACAAAATAATAATTTATAAATTATCAAGGGCTCATGAGGGAGGGGGGAGCGGGGAGGGAGGGGAAAAATGAGGACCTAATGCCGGGGGCTTAAGTGGAGAGGAAATGTTTTGAGAATGAGGGCAATGAATGTACAAATGTGCTTTACACAATTGATGTATGTATGGATTGTGATAAGAGTTGTATGAGCCCCTAATAAAATGATTTAAAAAAAAGATGCAATTTTGACAATGGCGTCATGATATAATTTGACAGTTGCATAATGCTGTACCCATCTTCTGTTTCATTTTCACATAACGGCCTGGACTTTGGACCCTAACCCTGTTGATAAGTGAGGAGTGGGTGCAAATCCTCAGTGTTGAGCAGAATGGCTAGTGAATAGCAGGTGCTCAATATAGTTTGTGGTTGGCTGGTGGAAAAATGAATAAAGAGCCATTCGGGCCAACCATCTCCCAAACCTCCTTTCCTATAGACCTTAGCACCTGTGCCTGTAGGGCAAAGATGGTGCGGGAAGTCCCCTACAGAGTCCCACCCTTTACCTTTATCCTAACCCAACAACACAGAGAATGTGGCCAGTCCAAAAAGTTGATTAGAAACCATGAAACTGACAGAGGAGCCCCTGGGCCGTGCAATGGGTTCAGCACTTGCTTACCCGGAAGATTGGAGGTTTGAGCTCAGTCAGACGGGACTTGGAAGAACAAGGTCTGGTCATCTCTTTGCCAAAGAGCAGCCGTGGAAAACCCTACGGAGGGCAGTTCTGCACTAACGCACCTGGGCTTGCCGGGAGTCAGAACTGAGTGGGCTTGACTGTAAGTGGTATTATGGGATGGACAGGCCCTGCGGCTGGGGCAGAGGGGGCACTGTCCAAGTGAATTCCATGTCTACTTGTATTAATGTCCGTAGAAGACACGGACCTTTCTCAGAGGTCAAACTTGTTGCCTTTCTCTTTTCCTGAAGCATAGCACCAGTGATGTGTGCAGTTGTACTGTCTTGTATTTCTCTAAGGATTTATGATGAGCACGCATTACTTGCATTTAGCAGGGAAAAGGTGTACAGTGGGAACATGCACTGCCTGCTACCTGCCTTGTCTGGAGACAGGGACCATTCCAGGGTGTCCCAGGGGTGTCCCAGGTGGGCAGGGGAACTTCTTTCCTCAGTCCCTCTCTCTCACTCTCACTCTTGTCTGTCCCTGAAGGGCAACGACAACAAGAAGCCACTTCCATCGAGTGAATTCTGACTCCTACTGACTCCCGGTAGACAGGGCAGGACTGCCCCACGGGGTTTCCAAGGCTGCGACTCTTTTTTTTTTGGCTGCGACTCTTTACGGGAGTGACAGCCAAGTCTTTCGCCCACAATGCAGTTGACCTTTGGGCTAGCTGCCAGCACTTAACCACTGTGCCACCAGGGCTCTGTGGTGAGAATTACAGACATGTGTACAAAGCCAACTCCCCGCCCCCAGAAAGAGATGAATCCTGAATCAAATAGACAGTCGGATTGAGCATTTTCTAAATAGTAGCTCCTGCGAAGTGCTTCATACAGACTTGTCACCTGACGGCACTAGTCCACGTCTAGATACAAAGAGAAACGCTTAGGTGACGTGCTTTGCCCTGCAGCGGCCGACAGTGGACAGAAGAAGGCCTGGCACAGGTTTTACAGGTTGGACTTTGGTTCGTAATACCCCCACCCCCACCCCGCCCCTGCCCCAAAGTTTTAGGTCCTTAGGAAAGGTTCTTAAAGAAAAGCCATTTTCTGAGGAGGCGATGGATGGTGTCTGAAACACTCGTTCATTTTGATCAACAGGAGAAACAGGTTATTTTAGAAAGACACTTGCAGGAAGTCTACTTCGTTTTTTTTAAAATGCCTCTAAAACTCTCTGGCTATTAACCTACACACAGCATCATTTTTCATTGTATGTGTTTCAAAAGCGGCTGGTCTTTGAATGGATTGCTTTGAGCTACATTCACACAAGAGGGCTTCAGAAAGTTTGCAGGAAAATTCCGTGATCTTTTCATTTCATTTTAAACAAACTTTTTGAAGGCCCCTCATATTTGAAAGAAAAGGTGTGAGACCCCCCCTCACCTACTGCTAACTAGCCTCAGTTTCTGAGCTATGGCTTCTCCCTGATCAGGGGCTCTGGGAACTATGACCCAGGTTTCTTCCTATACTGAGCATCTTTTTCCAGCATGCAGACCCCTCTGAAAGGGCCCCAAATGGGCATGGCTTTATAATTTGGGTATGGCTCTGGAAGGTGGATTTGCTACTTCAATAATTTTGAACATGTGCTGATGGTTGTAAAGCACCTCTTAAAGTGCAAGGTCACCTCTCGGCACTTTGATGGATCCAAATACATTCTTGAGATGAAATGTTGCAGGTGCAACAGCGGGACAGTAGACTAGGACGAACTAGCTTCCTTCTGCTCCTCGACAGTTCTTAGGGCTGCGGGAAATTTTTATTATTTTAATTAAAAGAGAAATTGGTTTCAAGTTTTACTGCATATTTACGATGACATGATTCTGATGTTTACTTATTAAGAATAAACCGTCACTAAAAAGTAGACATCACTTACGTGTCAGCTATGCGGAATAAAACATCTAGTTTCAGAAAAATGGTTATTAAAAAGTATAGTGTGGCATAGGCGAGTACACATGGTGGAATGTAAAATAAAAATACAGTATTATTATCCGTATATTCCAAATAATGATGACCACGCATACCCTCACCTTCTGGGGAAAACGCAGCACGAAGAAAATACATAGGGAAATATGAATAGTGGACTTCTCCATTTTTTGAATTAAGGTGACTTATTACTTTTATTTCTATGACTTTCTTGGATAGCTATCCTAATTTCTCGATAAATTACTTTCTACAATATTTTAAAAGTTCAACTTTGAAATGAAAACCAGCCCTGTCCAGTTTCTAATGAGGGTCACTGGGTCTATCCATCATGCAGTGGATGAATCATTCATGGGGAATCTCAGGTTCACGACACTAAGAAGTATCTCTTACTCCAGAGAATTTTCTTTGTGATCCATAAACTAACCAGTAGAAGGAAAACAAATGTGGTGCTCTAAGAGAATCACCTACACATCACAGTCACGACAAAGATGCTCTTGGCTGCTCCCCAGACCTCCAGCACCTGATTCTTCTGAGGTGCTGATGTGGGAATCTAATTCAGATCCCTGATTAAGAACAGTTTTTCGAGATCAACATACAGATACACAGCTACTGTCTACAGACCCACTGTCTATTACGAACTGCTGTCGGTGTTCTTGAATCGATCTAATTTAACCTCTCCAACGACTGTCGCAGATGGTTCAACCAGGGTATGCCTTGCTACACCAAGTGCTGTCATTCTCACTCCGGTGTGTCCCCTCTAAAATGTATATGCTTGCTATTACACCTCAGGTCCACCTGGTCTAGAGAAGAAAAGACGTGTAAAGTATTAGTAAGGCCAGCCCTGTGACCTGGCCAGCCCTGTGATCTGGCTAGCCCGGTGAACATGCTTAGTGCTCAGAGTAATTGGCAGCAAGCACAAATGAAGCCAGTCTTCCTTTAGTACATGCACTATTAGTAGGGAGGCAAGCGGGCAAGGTTAGGGTGAACAGTTAGTAACAGGCATTAGTACACAAATATGATCATAAAGTAGCAAAAACACTTCGGCCAATCAGGTGCCTTTTTCCTTACCATTAAATATTCCAATTTCAGTTCTTACTGAATAGGGCAGGTCATACATCTAAATTATTTAATAAAATGTTTAAATTAGCATACTCTTTTCTAAAAGCTACTACTTCAAAACAGTAAGATATCAATTTTTTTTTAAACCAGGGAAGCTAAAACCTTACTGCTTTCTAGAGGAACAATTAAGAACAGGCTCAAAAGAATACCACAAACTCCCCTAAGTTGACAGACCCTGTCAGCCAAAACCTGCTTGGCAGCAGTAATCTCCCCACAGAGCTTGTCTCCATCCCGCAGGCTTTAATTCCACTCAAGCTAATAACTTGCTGGTACAAATGTGTCTATCTAAGAATTCCAAGAAAAAAACAAGCGATAATAAAAAGCCATCTTGTCCAAGGGAGTTGTGTTTTTACTTTTTGCAGTACCCACTAGCTATATCCAAGACTGGCACAGACTCGTACATCCTAAATGCTGGCCTTTTATAGCCTTTCAATGGTAGTCGCAGGAATTTAAAGAAATTATAGGTTAATTTTTGTTATACAAAGGTAAATTGTGGTGACCTGGAATTTCTTGAGTTAGGAGAATTTATAGCGTTGATTAGTTTTTAAAATATTTTCTGAATAGGTTAAGGACGTATTTTTCAAAAGTATAATGTCGCTTGTCTGATCATTTATAAAGCGCAGTCCAGCCCAGTCCAGTGCATTCCAGTGTTGGAGCAGACCCAGAAAATAACCTTCTGGAATAGATATACCCCAAGTGATAATGATATTGAAAAGAGAAAAAAAACAAACAAACAAGCCATGACTCTGGTTCATGGTCTTCTCAAATCTAAATCAATGGCACGATTTGAGAGAATATAATTTTGGTGGGTCACAAGAATTCAAGTGTTGCAAGGCTCAGACGTCCTTAGGTTGTTGGGGCCAGTCATTTCACTGTGTAAATGACCTTCATGCTCACCCCAAGAGGGAGGCAACCAGACTTTGTGGTTAGTCCCTAAGGAGCTAGGGAGTGGAAAAACACGTGTCCTCCTAGAGACGGAACCCTCGTCTCCCCTGGGGGTTTCTATAGAAAGTCTGACTCTGACCAACGTGTGAGAATTTTGGTGGGCTAAGTAGCCCCCACAAAAGGCTTATGGCTCAGATTAGCTGATTGAGAGGACTGTACGCCCTAAGGAAAGCCTTGTGCCGTGAACCTAAAGCCATGACTAAAATGAGCCCCAAAGCACGTTTTAAAAAATCTCATTTAGTTATAGAGAGCAAAATGTAAGCACGCTAGAATGCAAGAGGACGGGGTGTGGGATCCCTGGGAGCATCTGTTTTATGGCTGCTGCTGCTGGTTTGGTCCTACGAAGTTCAAGCATCAAATTAAGAAGCTCCATGCAAGTTACTTGCACTCACGGTAGCAAAAAGGAAAAGCTCCATGAACAAAGGATGCGCTCCTCCGTGGTGACTGCCCCCGAGTTCTCTTTTGCTGGCGGCTGAGGAGCCAATCAACGGCAAGTCAATGATACCGAAAACAGAATGCCCGTGAGAGGCTTACCAACCAAAAAGAGGACGTCCTTAGCATCTTATGCGGAAACTGGACTTTCAATCTACTGACAGCTACTTCTTCAGTCGGGAGCATTGCAGCTCCAAGTGCTTCGGATGAAGACGAAAGCAATGTCTACCTGGCCATGGCCTGGGGTCAAATGGCCGCTCCTGAGCACAGTCAAAGCACATACACAAGACACAGCTAAGCAGGAGCATTGGGGCTGTTGCTACAAGCTGCTTGGGGGTGGTTACAGACCTTAGTCCCGGCAACCTTCCCCACCTGTGAGGGCATTAGGAAGGGCATCTATTAGGAAACAAACAAACAAACAAACCGATGTGGCTTTTGTTTAAAAAAAAAAAGTTGATGTGTCATCAGAAAAAAGTTATTAACCAATCATAACATATTGAAATTATATATAAATGCATTTTATGCCTAGAAGTGGGGGGATGAGGGGGGAGAGCAATCTCATTGTTTCAGGCATCAACTTTGGGTGTTTCAGCACTGGCTTATTTTCAGCTGAGAAGTCAACCCGTATGGGACAGTTGTTGGGTTCGAGTGCCCAGATGTGTATTTCAAAATTGATTTTAAAAAAATCTGGGCCGTAGGAAGTAAGGAGTCTAAAACTCGAAGCACCTTTTTTCTTAGAAGGAAAGTATTTTGATGAAGAATTCACTAAGAAATGAATTTCACTCACATGATATACAACTCTTCCACCTACACTAAAAATCACTATGCTCATTCTACTTAAGAAAATGTAACTAAAGATAACTCTTAAATAACAAAACTGTAAGTCAGGAGTCAGAAAACTTCCTGTAAAAGGCCAGAAATAGTAAATATTTTAGGTTCGGTGGGCCACACGGTCTCTATAAGGGCGTGTCTACGATGCTGTCTTAGCACAAAAGTAGCCAGAGAAATGACTAAATTCAATGAATGGGTTTTGCTGTGTCCCGATAAAACTTTATTCATAAAAAACCGGCTGCTGGCCAGCTTTGGCCCGCAGGCGCAGTTTGCTGATGCCTGTTATCAATCGATGCCTAAAGAGAGTGGGGAGATCAAAAGCCAGGTAGAGGGACAGAAACTGCTGGAAACAACTTCCTACTTACCTGTTACTATTTTGGAGGCTGTGGGTACTGTGCTGGTGAGGCTGCCATCGCCAGCTGAGTGGGCACCAGGAGGATGAGGGGGTGGGGGCACACTGGGCCGGTTTCTTGGCTTTGGTACTGGTCTCGGTCTTGGTAAGGTTCCGGCGTGTGGCTGTGTAGTTTCAGGGTTACTCACCACCTGGGGCTGGGAAGCTAGCAGGCCGGGACTCTGTTTGCCTAGGGGCGGCGTACTGGGGGGCGTTGGAGTCTCCGGAGGGGTATGAGAAGGCTGCTCAAGTCCACGTTCACTGGGCAGTGCCGAGGGGTTAGGCGAGGCCTGGCTACTTGGTTTGGTGTGTGTCAGAGGTGTGGCCTGGGTCGGGGGCTGTGGTGGTGGGTGGCTGGGAGCTTGTATTGGACACAGGCTGCTGGAGTACCTCCGGGGAGCAGAGAGCTGGGGGGTGGCCGAGGGTTGGCCCGAAGCCTGGCCTGTGTGCTGAGTGGGAGGGGAAGGGCTTCTGGTGGGCGGTTTGGGTGAGAGACTGGGGAGGTGCTGAGATGTCCCCGGAGAACTCTGGCCCCCAGGATGGCCAGGAGGTGGGTTTGCTGGTTTCGGGGGTGCCGGCGCAGGTTTTTTAACAGCTGTACAAAGGGGGAAAACAACAAGACACCTTTCAGTAAGCACAGCATTTCCACAACCAGGCCACCAAGATTTACCATGCCGCGATCTAATTCTCTCTGGAAAAATAACACACCTGTTTTTAAAACAAGTACGTTATATACACATATGAATTGAAAGACCTGTCAGTTTAAGTTTGTTTTTTGTTTTTTTAAAGGAAAGCTTTGGCTAACCAACGCAGACTCTGAGAGGCTGCTCCGCTGTCAGACCACCTCTCCGTGCTCTCTGCTCTCTTGTCCTGTGAGCACGGATCACAGAGGACAGTAAGAACGGGTCCGACGAGCAAGCCCCAGGCACACGTGGTCTCCTTATACCGTGGCCCCCTTGCCCTAAGCCATCTTAAATGACTTCTTTTAAGGACAGCGGTGTCAGGCCGCCCCCCACCAAACACGAGCTGAGCTCAGTGTCACAGAGGGCCAGGAGCCTGGCACTGAGAGATGGGCTAAAGCCTAGCAGGGGCTTTCTGACAGGATGGAAAAGCAACGGGTCTGGGAACCCGATTTGAGGCCAGAGCGGAGAGGAAGGCATGGGAGAGGCAGACTCGTATCTTTCAAAGTCTGCTCCGATCCCACCCATCTCCCAGGAAAGAGAGAAGGAAACCAAGGAAAGAAAGGAAAATGGATCATTCACCCGGCATGTCTCTAAACCTAGTGGGGACCTATACATAAATCGTCTCCCTGAAGTTTTCTTAAGCTCCCTGCAAAACGGACATCATAATGCCCACTTCATGTGGGGGAAAAGCTAAGGCTCAACGAGGCATCTGCTTGCTACAAAAGACCCCTTCACAGTGCTAAGAGCCAAGATGTCACTGTGAGGACAAATGTGCACTTGACGGAAGCCCGGGTATTTTTAATTGCCTCATATGCATATGAACAGGTTAAGGTGATACAACATGAATTGATACAACTGAAACATGATGTTGGCAAAGAGTACGGAGAGTACCAGAGGAACAAACCAACCTATCTCGGAAGAAGCCCAGCCAGAAAGTTCCTTAGAACTGAGGCGGGTGAGACTTTGTCCCAGGGACTGGGTGCAGGAGGGCAGAACAGCATACTTGGTCAAGTAGAGGGGAAGCGAGAAACAGGATGGACGGACTCTGGTTGCAAAGACAGCAGCGACTGTGAGGCTGGCAGCACCTGATTCACCGTGTGCTACAGCGGCACCTGATTCACCATGTGCTACAACAGCACCTGATTCACCGTGTGCTACAGCGGCACCTGATTCA